GAGATGGCTGATAGCTTCTTGCCGCCAAATTTCATCACATCAGCGAACTTGTAGAGGTCGGAAGCTGGATCCGTGCCCTGAACTCGGGGGTATGGAAATGTGTTAACCGCATAGCACCTTTTTATTCAGATTTAAAGACTGTCTAGGAAGAAGTTACACGTTGAAGTTTGTCTGCCAGTTGTACTGAGAACTACTAATCAATGGCGAGCAGAAATGGTTGCGCATGAATTGAAATATCCCAACGTGACTGTCATCTTTTCCACCGGTTAACGACATATTCCTATGCTCAGACTGTGTCCGAATGATGAGGTGTAGTGAGCTACAAGGCATTTACGTCGTCCACATATGTGTTTATCACTCTACCAGAATACACGGACAACCCAGGAAGACAGAGGCATCGCAGCCTGAACAGCACTGCCTCATGAATAAAGTGATTCGTTAGCTAAAAACCATTCAATTCCAAACTTATAAGACATCATTGTGGTTTAAATACCTGTCCTTTGGATTGAATTAGTAGTTTTTCTCGTGTGGAGTGAGGCAGCAGAACGTATATTGCACCCGTGAACGTGGATTTGTCCACGCCGCCTACCGTGATCATCCTTAGTTTCTTGGTCATACCTTGCTGTTGCACCACAGTAAATGTTGGAAAATAGAGCGAGGTACTCGCTGATGATGCCTTTGAGGGAATGGTGCTCCATATCGGTCACGGTAAACAGGTTACCGAGGTCCGGATTGGTCTTTGCCTCCATCTTGGGGGCGAGGATATCTTGTATGCGGTTCACTGTCAACCTCAAGTTCCTCTAGACTTCGACGCTACCTAGCTACCTTATTGGCTTCTTCGGCCTCATGCGCGCACACTACATTGGTCTTCAACTAAGTGCCCATACAATATTCAAATTCTGATGAAGGCAATCGCCGTTTATGATGATGATGATGGTGGTGGTGGTGGTGGTGGTGGTGGTGGTGATGATGATGATGATGATGATGATGATGATGATGATGATGATGATGATGATGATGATGATGATGATGATGATGATGATGATGATGATGATGATGATGGACAAATTCCTATGTATGCAGAATAGCATTACTAACAAAAACAAGGGAGACTGGAATGACCATTTGTGGTTTATTGGTTGTAGTCAACCAATCATACCCAATCCCGAGGTGTGCAACACCGGTGATGGTGACGGGAAAATTAGCATTTATTTGCTCGTGTATATGGCCGTGTGACTCTTCTCAGTTTTAAAAAAATTTTATCTGCGCATCCCAAAGGGATGGCGTCATCTGGGCAAGCACCATTTGCGGACAGGCATGATGGAAAGATTACCTGAGATAAAACAAAGATCAGTGGGGTTGTCGGAGAGCTGTCCTTGAAGACATCTGCAAGGTTAGTAGTTTGGGGTTCTATGAATCTTTGGCCAAGATGATGAGCAACAAAGTCTTGCATTGCATTGGTCACCTTGTCCGATCTCAAACATCTCAGCAGCAGAAGGCGCTGGAAACTATCCAACTTCTCACCCCAGGGTTCTTTAAGTGGGATCCTATGGGGCTCATTGGAATCAAAGATAGCCTTGAAGTCATCCAGATTACTAGCGATGAATTCCGGAATGCCGTCAAATCGGGGGAGCGCATCAAGCGTCAGGAGTTCGCTCCATATTCGGTCGGAAATCCACTCTGGAGCGGGGTTCGGCAATTCCTTCTTCCGTGTTGTGCCGCCCGCAAGCAAGTAGCGCCATTCAGTCTGTTAACCCATCAAAAAGACTGTAAAACTCTAGCTGGAATGGTAGCAAAATCATATTGCCAGCAAACTGCTTTTTTCCTCTGATAAGCCAGCAATTATGACTATTAGTTATGTCCACGTCCTGAAAAGAAACCTGTATGGTGAATGGCAACAAGTGGGTAAAGTCACTTAATTGGCTAGCTGTGTGAGGATCTGATGTGCCACGGTTATAGAACACGGCAAGTCTTAAATATATGTGCGGGACAAGAAAATGCCAACAGTTAGTTAACAAATTCCCCAGCGTTTTAACACTCCTGCTTTACTGGCAGACGTATGCATTCCATCTACAACTTTTTCGAGTATTTTTTACTACCTGACTGCTCTCCGCGTCGGACTTTTTTCTAAAATTGAGCTTGCCTCTTACTAAAGAACTACGTGTGGGGCTTGCAGAACAATGAATTAATGTAGACATTTCAGCAGTACTGACTCCTAGGGGCGGTATGCCATCCTGCCGACGAAGGTCCGAATAAAAACTCTGCAGAAAAACACGTAGAACACTTGCAGGTTCCAATCTAGCATTGCGCCTTTGTAAGCAAGATCATGCGTTGTAGAGGGGTTAGTATACGATTGAACTTTGCGTTGATGCTTCATGGTCTCTCTACATTTCCTACTGTTTTTTTCATACAAATTCACGCAATTTCCAGATGGCAGTCTCGATAGTCCGTAGCTGTGAAATAAGTATACAGTCAGTTGGAGATTTTAAGTGTTGGGTAACAAGATTTTGTTAGACACTTCTGTTAGGATCATAATCTAGACGATAACTCGGCTCATGCTGAGATTCGGATAAAGTTACCATCAAAACATCTAAAAACTTAAGGATGTGACCGCAATGGCTTAGAGTTAGAGCAAATGCGAAACTGGGATCTCAGCCGTCTGGTCTTGTCTCAAAGCAAGCGTCCTTTGGATGTGCGAGTCTCTTGGTATCCTACGGTCTCAAAATAAACAGTATATATTATTTCAGCGGTCTCGGCAGACTTTGGTTACATCTGTCGCTGTTTGACTTTTTTAGGGCAAGGAAATGAGGTCAAGCCAGGACATACCCCGTGCCATTCGCAAGGATTACGGGTTGTTTTCACTGTCTGCAGTAATACTATTCATAAATGGTCGGCTCTGTAGGCCACACCCCCACGGCCAATGGTCACACTGGTCGATACCAATTCGTATTTACCTGACACGTATGAATTGGAGATAATCCAAGCAGGCAGGAAAATCGGAAATCGGTAAACAAAATCCAATATATGCACCAAAGAAACACAACAGCTCTTGAAAGTGAAACCGGACACACACGCCTGGCTCACGATTCCACGGACGCGCGGTTTCCACACCATACTTTGACATTAGACTGCACGGTATGGAGCTCCGATTAAAACTGTCTATCGCTGTCGTTTCCTTTCGGACCATTTAACTGACATGCCTTGATTGTGAGCGCATCTGGCATGGGCTCGTGGCTGGTAGTCACAACGCCAAAGATCGAATCTTCTTAGCTTTTTCTAAGGTGATCTTCACTGCCAACGTAGTACCGAGTACGGCCAAAGCACTTAAAACACCATCCTAGTCATAAATATTGATCAAGAATGCGGTAGCAGTTCACTTGCTAAGTTGATTTCATTGTGTACTCTTGAGAGGTCGGCTTCCCAGCTTTATAGGGATTAGACACCGAATCCACTGGCATGTAGCTATTTTTAACGACTTTTTGAGGTCAGAAACCTTAAGCGTCAATTCGGTAGAGTTGATAAATTGCCATCTCTGTATATCCGGTTTTAAAAGAGAAACAGTGACCTCGGTGTGCATTTTAGATGAAAACTTAGTGCACAGTAGGCTTGAGGATCAAAGGAATGAGGCGTACCGCGTCGATAAATCCATCATTCTCCAAAATCTTGATTGCTAGGAGGAAGGCGAAGAGCAGCTTGTGTCGCTCAAACAGACTGCGACAAACATTGGTGTACAGGGAGAAGGTAAAATAATTATTGATATTCTCGATTCTCTCGGTTACAGTAGCTAAAAGTAGAAAAAAAAAGAACATTTTGTAATATAATTCTTACAGCTTCGCCACAGCACATTGGAAATCGACTAAAAGTATTGCCTGACGTCGTAACAATATGCCTGTTAATTACAAGATCAGGAAAATCCCAGGTCACAGTAAAATGCTTGAGAGCATCGGCAACCCTAGGCTACTAACAACGTAAAAATCGTTGACATTTGGTTCAACGAAAAAACAGGTAGTAAGCAACTCACGAGCTTTTTCTGCATTCGCGATTCCATGGAGAAAACCATTGATAAACCACTCCAATGAATACTGGTACATGGGGTCAATGTTTGCCAAGGCTGAAACACAGAAGAACAATATGCGTGCCCGCACGGAGACTGGAATGTACATGCTTCTGGTCTCATCAATATCCTTTTCGGTTTGCTCAGCTACGACGACCTTCGACTGGATTTCGGTCGACTTCATTTTTGAGGCCTCAAGTGTTGCGATCAAGTCTAGATCGTCGATGGGAGATCCCTCAGTTGCACTCAATCGCTCCAGAATACGGTCCTCAATCTCCTTCAACTCCTGTTTCATTTGAGCATTACTCACAATCAGCTGTCCCTTGGCCTCCTCAAGGTCTGGACGTTCTTCTGCTACAACAATGCCCAGAAGCTGGTCTTCCAAACCACTTGGCGAC